TTAATAAAAAAAAAACACCCCACCATTGCGTGTGGTGCCCTCCCTCTCTTGGGGTGCAGTACTACGATGTCGCTGGGGTCTCTTCAACCCCGAGAACTGAGCCTCTACTTTAGTCAATCCTCTTTGATATAATCTAACCTACAATTACATATTGTACACATTGAACAACCAAACTAAATATTTACATATATTTTTTTATTTGAATGAAAATATTAATTTACATCAAGTGACATAGTTTATAAAAAAAAACATGCCCAAATCGGAGATAAAAGAATCAAAACAAATAGCAAGTGGATCCATATTCCAAGATTTGAAGACCTTTGATGCAGATCATCCTCCAGTGACTACAATAGAAAGTCTGTGCATGAATTGCGGTAAAAATGTAAGTCTACCCTCAGATTTCATCATTGGAAGTAGACTGGTTGTATCAAGTAATTGTTATTGCCAAGTTGCATCATCTATAAACTAATGATTGACAATATTTACTTTAAAGGGTCTCACGAGATTGCTCCTAACTAAAATTCCTCATTATAAAGATATTATTTTGATGTCCTTTCAATGTGAAAATTGTGGATTCGAGAATAACGAAATTCAGAATGGAGGAAAAATAAATGAGAAAGGGATCAGAATCAAATTAGAAGTTGTTAATGAGAGAGATTTGAATAGACAAGTAGTGAAATCTGACTATACAAGCATAAAAATACCGAAACTGAACTTTGAAATTCCTTCGCAATCGCAGAAAGGAGGTAAAGATTTTTCCATAATTCAATTGAAATAAAAGCCCAAGCTCTCAGAGTTATAACCACACCTACATAAATTAATTGATATTTTATTCAGAGATAACGACAATTGAAGGAATTATTGACAGAAGTGTAATGGGATTGGAGCAGGATCAGTCTAGAAGAAAGCAAGAGAATCCAAAGACAGCAGCGGACATTGAGCTATTTATTTCGCAACTTTTATCTTTGAAATCAGTTGATGAACCTTTTACAATTATTTTCGAAGATATCACGGGAGAAACCCACGTGGAAAATGTTAATGAATTCCAGAGAGATCGCCAATGTTCGATAACTCATTTTGTTAGATCAGAGATGGAAAACAAAATGTTGGGTATTTTTCAAGAGAATAACGATGAGCTTCTCAAACCCATGGAACCAGAAAGTTATACATTAGAAGACTTGGAAGGTGAAATCTTAAAATTTCCCACCAATTGTCCTAAATGTAATGCTCCCTGCAGTACAAATATGAAAATGACAAATATTCCGCATTTTAAAGAAGTTGTAATAATGGCAACAACATGTGATGAGTGTGGCCACAAGACGAATGAAGTAAAGAGTGGTAGTGGAATTGAGCCCGAAGGAATACGAATTCAAGTTCAAGTGACTGGAACAGAAGATTTCAGTAGAGATGTCTTGAAATCTGAAACTTGTTCAATGGAAATTCCAGAATTGGAACTGGAAGTGGGGCCAAATGCTCTTGGAGGTCGTTTTACAACGATAGAAGGACTACTCACAGCAACGAAAGAACAATTATTATCGAGTGCTTCATTTTGCGGAGATAGTGTTGACGAAACTGTTAAAAAACGAATGGATGAATTCATTTCAAAATTAGATCAAGTTTTGAATGGCATTCATTCAATTACAATTATTCTCGATGATCCAGCTGGTAACAGTTACATTCAGAGCCTCTCAGATAATGGTTGTGATGGCAAATTGACTATTACCAAATATCAGAGGACTTTTCAACAGAATGAAGAATTGGGAATTAATGATATGAAAGTTGAAAATTATGATACAAATTAATTAACTTTATTTTTATTGTTGTCTTCACTTCGATAATATTTGTTAAACGCCGAAATGATTATTGTCTTTATTTTTTATCCATTTTTCCATGATCAAAGGGGATTATTCGAGATGGCTAAAAGAGAGTATGAAGTAATTTGATAATTTATCTAATTAACGAACAAACATACTATGATTAATTGTTTTATTCACTCACACGATGGGAACTCCATCCAACTTTTTCAATTTGGGAAGGCGTCTGGTAGCTTGAGCCCTCCAAGATTCTGCGTCCAAATTTTCACAAATTGGATTATTTATTAGAATAAGCTCTTCTAGTTTCGGTATGTCCTGTAGCCGATTGAATTCTGCCCAATCCTTCACAAGGTTATTCCCCATGTAGAGGACTTTCAAAGCCTTGAATACATTAACACCTTTAATTTTTTCGATTAGGTTGTAAGAAATCCATAATTGTTCCAATTGTCCTCCGACAGCTTCCAATCCTGCGAAACTCTTTATATAATTTCTTCCCAAAGACAAGATTTTCAAATTTCTCAGGGCCTCAAGGCCAGATATTTTTTCAATCATATTGCTCGACAGCGACAGCTTCCTAGCAATAATAAAAGATTCATTGAAGGCATCAAATCCACCGAATCGTGTTAATTAATGCTCTGTTTATCAACCAACTTGACATTGATTAACATTGACAAACTATTATCCATCCTTTCAATTGGAGGCCATTGGAAGGAGAGGATGACTTCTTCCGCTTTGTCAGCCGAGTTACCCGTCTGTTCTTCCCATTTTTTTATGGCTTCTTTACAAGTTGTTGGAGCAGTCTAATAAATTTGGTTGTTTCATTATGTGAGATAAAAATTAAATGAGTATATCCAATTGACGATACATAAAAAAACAAGGAGAAAAGAATTACCATTATCTGTATATTTCAAAACAAAAATTACTTCATTGACGGCTCTTGAAAGTCGAAACAAAAGAGGTAAAAATAATCGAAATTTGGAAGTGAAAAAAGATAGTGAAGTGATAAATGTTTCTACCATCTTGGGAGTATTCTGTATAAGTGCGGTAAATAAACTTGTAAAATTGGCGCATTTTTTAAATTAGTACCCGATGAGCTAAGGCCTATGGACTATCCCCTAGCGAATCTATATGTGTATACACGAAATGTATACGAGTATATATCTGCACTGGTGTGCGTCATGCATATACAACCTCGACTATAGTCCGTGGTGTCCGTGGTCCCTGCTCCGTCGTGTCGGCTTCACCTCACTGGCCAACTCACTTGGGTGTTTAGAAAGTTTTTCTTCATTTTTCGAGTTTTCATATCCACTAAACAAACATTCCACTGTAATAGAAACCAATTAATCCCATCGAATTGTCAACGACAAATGAAATTATTTAATAATCGAAAATTATCACAGCCGTGTTTAAACCGTCCGTTAGAAAAATTGTGTGATTTGAAATAGGCTTCGTTAATAAACCGGTGATGCTCTCTCCTAAATAATAAATCTGTGCTGAAAGATATTTGAAAAGGTTTGACTATTCGCAGAAGTTATGCCAAATATACTGAAAAAAGAGAAGGTGCGTTTATTCACATATATTATTTTTCAAAGGACATGATGGAAAAATGTGCTCCTCCTGTTCTGTCCCTACTGTCTCTCTCTGTTCCACTCTCTCTCTCTTTCTCTCTCTCTCTCTCTCTTTTCCTTGCTTTATTCTCCTCGTATTGGTTACTCTTCGATACTTGTGTCGTTAGTTTGTGATTTGGAATACATATTTAATTGTTTTGTTAGCTATTTTCGTTGTTTATTGTTTATTGGTTTGTGCTCAAGAGCGTATAGTGCATGAACAACACAAAAAGTCGTTTGGTGAAGAAAAGAGAAAAAGGGGTAAAAGTGAGGCTAGAATAGAACTGTTGGAAGGGGAATGAAAGAGAACACAATCCCGGTAGCGGACATATACCAATTCTCACGAATACCAATTTATGTGCAATAACACACACACACATATCCACACACATCATTCAGCCGTTTTCTAGTAAAAAGAGAAAAGAAATTCACCAATTGATTTCAGAACAATATCAACAGTTGGAGTACGATAAGCACTCGAAAAATCATCGCATAATCGTCGATAAATCGAAAAATTATCATCAACGATCTGTTTTCTGCCTTCTCCAACCAAAGTTATAGTACCAAACCGCTTATTACAATGGTATCGTTGAATTCTTCATTGACATAATTCACTTTCTTTAGTCAATCTTTTTCTTCTCTTGTCTTTTCTTCTCACTGTTAAATTCATCTCTGGTTCAACCATATTTCACATTTCAGGAGTCAGGAAAGAACAAGGAGAAGGGAAAAAATGGAAAGGATGCAGACCATGGAGATGAGGTGAGGTTATGAAACTTGGCATGAAATTATCATTTCTGTATGATGCTGCATCACTCGAATTATTCAATACCGTTAAATAATGTACACTTCATAATAGTATATTTTTTCGCACACTTATTTGGCACTATTATGTGTATAGATATTCTTAAACAAATTCGTAAGCGTTTGAGATTTATTGAACTATTTCATTGTTACACTGTTCATTTAGGAATATGCTATTGTACATATTTTTTTATCGTATTGAGGAATTCCGCACAGTGTACCATGAGTGTTAAGCGTTTTTCTTTTATTTATCGAAAATATAATCACCCGATGCCATTTTGAGGTTATATTGATCTTGTTTTGACAAGATGATAGTGGAGAGATACAGTTGATATTGCAAGGTAATGAGTTGAAACAGTCAATGGCTAATGGCTTGCAGATAAATAGTGGACATATTTTTGTGGATCGAGAAACGTAAAGGGGACATGAGTGATTACTTTATAGGGATTCATAATTAATTATTTGAGCATTGTTGCATAACAATTGTGCTGAAGTTGTTCGACTTATTTGCTGTAAATTATTATTAGTGTAGGTGATTTCGTAGCTCCATGCAAAGAAGTACAACTAGAAAAATCCTTCCAATTTTGTTTTTCTCCGCTTTTAAATTAATGAAATTTTTAATCTACCTTTATGTTTTCTGCGAAAGATACCTGATGATGTTAAACTCAAATTGCCAAACATTGAAACGGACAGAGTTTATCGAGTACTACTCAGAAAAAAAATCTTAATCAATTTAATTGGCCCTTGTTATAATGAAAGCCAGATATTTTCGCCGTGACGGTTAGAAAATTTCATGCATTAATTAGTAAACAAGTTTGTCCAAGATCCTGATGATTTGTAGGGGTCGTAAGTGTGAAGACTCGTAACTTGTAATGAACAAAGAACAGTATTAGAGTCAATGGATGAATTTCGGTAGAAATTGTGTTTGTGGACAGGAAAAAATGAATGAAAGTGCGAGGCATGTAATTTAGATGATCAATTAGGTTATTGGTTAGAGTGGTGTTTGCGATGAGTTTTTATCCCCACCGATTGAAAACTGTTGAAAAAGTCACAGTATCTATTTTAAGGATTGCGCAAATAGAAAGCATGCCAATAATATATGCCAGTGCATACCGGACAGCCCACGCGCATACTTTTTTTCCGTGTATTTATTTATTTCTCTGAATCATTTTGATTTCATTGAAGAATATTGCAGGCATTTACTCATCATTCTAATACCAGCGGAGTTAGAACACGACGAAGCTAAATTGAATATCCGCATACTTGGGGTTTATCATATAAGAACTACTAAAACCTCGTAAAACCATTGTGCCATGAATTATTGGCCACTCTCATAAGTACAGGATGAAAAAAGTGAAAAAAGTGATCCGTAAACGATGAATAATTATTTCATTATAAGAAATGTTTCAAAATTCCAAGTGAATGACTAATGAAGTAAAAATGACATGGCATGAAATTATTCTTTCCAAATGAAATTCAACTCGTTAATTCCAGTTTTATTTTAAATTAACGTGTGTATTTATGGTATTTTAAAATGTTTCTTTGCCCGATAATTAACAGCGGAAAGTTGTGATGGCATTATTTTTTTTAGTACTGAGAAAAAATTTGTCCTGAAAGAACGAATAATTTTCTGTTACTTATCCATGTATCATTTTGACATAACTACGCAATACATATCTCTCAGGGACGCTGAGTGATCAAGTGAATGCCACAGAGAGGGAGAGAGAAAGAAAAAGAGAAAGAGAAAGAGAAAGAACGAAGACATTGAAGTTGAGTGCCGCGGTGAGTGCAGTTATATTCGATGTCCACTGAGTCTCGTGTTCGTGCTAACGAGTGGAATGAATCGACCATCACTTTATCGGGGAGGATTTATTGTTTAATCCCGCTTTACATCGATAATGAGCTATTGAAGTTGAAGAAAGCCAGTACATTTGAGCGATTTGTTCGGAAATAGTTGAATCGTGCAGTAATATTTATTATTGATATTTCTTTTGCTATCATGTGGAGAATAAGCTTGCGAAAAATAAGAGAATTAAAACACTGTTTGAGTGCAACAATCCGACATATACAATGACAAACGTCGCGACTCTGTGCCACTGGCTGATTTCTCGCCAAAACGTGTCGCAAGTAATTCGAGTCTTGATCACGAGCGCGGTAGTCATTTTTATAATAATCATCATTAGTGCTAGCTAACGACCTTGGGGTGATATCCTATAGAAATAAAAGGAACAACAAGGGGAGTGAGTTATGGAAAGATATCCGGTAATTACGCATTCAATCATATTTGTGACCGATTAACTTTCGTCGGATCAACAGGAAAAGAAAATACGAGTGAATTTTGGAAAAAAAAATCCATTTATTATTGCTTTGGAATTCAAATGATGATCCATTACGCATGGCGTGACGGAAGATTTGGTCAGAGAAACTTATGCGTGATGTTATATGATCATTGAGTGACACTAAGGCTCAAGCAAGATGCAGACTTTTAGTAACCTTGCATTTGGAAATGTCTTCAAGAAAAAGGCAGGATTTTTCATTATAAATTTTAATGTTTTTCGTTTCAAATGCTAATCAATTTCCCATTTATGAGAGGAAGTCCCTTCACATGGCAGTTGTACAATGTTTTATTATTTGTCAAGAGAAATCTTGTTATCGTCATGGTTATTGCTGACATCAGTCACAAGAGATAAGATAAATCCAATTGTGTAATTGCATGTATCTGTAGATAAATAATACTGAAATAATAAGATCCTTATCAAAATATTGATTTGATTACATCAATATTTGATAAATTTAAAGTTTTTCATTTAAACGATAATTTTTAGTATTCTATGTTGATTTTTCAATTGGGGACAATATTCTGTTTTTTTAACAGAATAACAAAGTGGCGGGTGTTTCGCCGGGTGGGAGTACACCTCCACCCCCAACTCTCATCAATAAGATCAAATATCAGCCTGGCGGGCCTGTCATTAAAAAGGACAAGCGTCAAAGCAGCTCTAGGTTCAATATATCAAAGAATCGCGAATTACAAAAATTGGCATCTTTAGCGGGTAAGTGTTAACAATTATATCATTTCCAAAAACCTTTTTTCCTATAATTTGAGAACTTGTTACTATTGTCATTTTGATACTTCAATAATACGCCCATACTTGATGCTGCACAACCTATCGCACACGCATGTACACATACATTAGCTTATAAGTAAGAACATCATCATTACACGCCTACGTCAGGGGCTATCGATTGTTTCACCGGCTTGCGCAGCCGCATTTGAATTTATATTCTGTGAATTTTGTTTCACCGGATGATCTTGGTGCTCCTTATCATCCCAAGTAAACAGTGTCTTCTTCTAAAACGCGCTGACACTTTATACGAAAAACAAGTTATACTTACCTTGCGCCATGTGTGAAGTGTATGTCGAGATTTAGGATTATTAAGCTAATCTATAATTGGTGAAAATTACCTCCAGAATCGAATGAACAGTAGAGTACATGAGAGTGAACTACAAGCTAGGAATTATCTGTGTCAAATATCTACAACACAATTTATCATTTAAATCGATATTCCATTACTAAATTAATTATATAACCAGTGAAGTCCATGAATGAACCTTTGTAAATATTTTGAGGTTTTTGTGTTGCGTTGGACGACGCAGATTCAACAGATTGAAAAGTTAATAATATCTAATTTGTCATCTAATTGAGGAATGACGTTATTGTCCGTTATTCTCTATAATTTATACTGTTATAGTATTTAAATGAGCCTGTGATTGAATTCGGGGCAGTGTCCCCACTCTGACTCTTATAAAAATCAAATAGATATTATTGGATTGAAGTAATTGTGATGGTTCACGTTGGGGGTATGAGCCCATCATTGGGAAGTGGTCTCCCAAAGAGTCCAAGTTTTCATCAGGGGTTAGCATTTGCTGCTATACTCACTCAAGACAGTAACAAACAGTGTCAACCGGTATCCGCCCTTCACTATCAGCCACTGCAACCCCTACTCATTGGTATTTTTTCCTGCTTTTTTTCATTTTTATTGTCACTTTTTTTTTTTTAATAATCTGCACCGTTGGTAGACCGTAAGTGTAAAATACTTTATTTTTATGGCTTCTCGAAGAACCAATACTTATTTAAATGCGTCAAAATATCAATTGCATTTGACTATCACGATAAATAATATATAGTTATAAAGTTGGATGAGTTTTGTAAGAAACTCGATGTGAATTATTCGAGATAAACGAGTTGATTTGAAAAATTAAATACATAAATTTGAATGATCGGCCTGAGTATTCATTAAATTTTTTCACTTGATTGATTTTAATTATTATTGAAGATTGATTGAGGATGTATGAACGTTTGCATAGAAAAATGACAATTAATGAGTGAACTTGCGATTCACAGAGGCTCAACAGCCCAGCGAAAGGGAAGAACTCTTTATACAAAAGCTTCGTCAGTGCTGTGTATTGTTTGACTTTGAGTCTGATCCGCTGTCTGATTTAAAATGGAAGGAAGTCAAGCGTGGTGCTTTATTAGAGATGGTAGAGTACGTCACAAAGAACAAAGGTGTTATCACCGAATCTATTTACCCCGAAGCAGTAAATATGGTTAGTCAATTAGCCAATTAATCAAACAGCTCTAATATTTGTTAATTAATTATTGGGTCATTTACGGATTTCCTTCTTATTGTAATCACTCGATTGTGATTTTTATCTGCATTGCAGTTCGCTGTGAATTTGTTTCGAACTCTACCACCATCATCAAATCCCAACGGTGCTGAATTTGATCCTGAGGAAGATGAACCTACTTTGGAGGCAGCTTGGCCCCACCTACAACTCGTTTATGAATTTTTTCTTCGTTTACTTGAGTCTCAAGACTTTCAACCAACCATTGCTAAGCGCTATATCGATCACAAATTTGTTTTACAATTATTAGAGCTATTCGATTCTGAAGATCCACGGGAGAGAGATTTTTTGAAGACAACTTTACACCGAATTTATGGAAAATTTTTGGGCCTCAGGGCATACATCAGAAAACAAATAAATAATGTATTTTATCGATTTATTTATGAAACTGAGCATCATAATGGCATTGCAGAGCTCTTGGAGATTCTCGGAAGGTAATTTTCTTACCAAGAGATTTATCCTTGTTCTTGTTTGTTTGTTTGTTTTTTTTTTCCGTATCCCAAGCAAGATAAAATGGAAAGTAATTTTATATGATATTTTATACTGTAGTATTATCAATGGATTTGCCCTGCCTCTCAAGGAAGAACACAAAATATTTTTACTCAAAGTACTATTACCGCTTCACAAAGCCAAGTCGCTGTCTGTATATCACCCACAACTTGCGTATTGCGTTGTGCAATTTCTGGAAAAAGATCCAAATTTAACAGAGCCAGTTATTAAGAATCTATTAAAATATTGGCCGAAAACACATTCACCTAAGGAGGTAATGTTCTTGAATGAATTGGAAGAGATACTCGATGTTATTGAACCAGCAGAATTTCAAAAAGTTATGGATCCACTTTTTAGACAATTGGCCAAGTGTGTATCATCACCTCATTTCCAGGTTTGTGTTAAATCTTTCTTCAATTAAGAATGACGAAAAATCTCCCTCGATTACCATTACAGGATTTTATAATCTTCTATTATTGTTGTTGACTTAATTTTTTATCAGGTGGCTGAGAGAACTTTATATTATTGGAACAATGAATACATAATGTCTTTGATATCCGACAATTACTCTTTCATCCTGCCCATAATGTACCCTGCATTATACAAAAATTCACGCAATCACTGGAACAAAACAATTCATGGATTGATATATAATGCATTGAAACGCCTTATGGAGATGAATCAAAAGGTTTTCGATGAATGCACACAACAGTACACACAGGTAAATTTGTCTGTGATGCTGATTTGTTAAAGGTTGATGATCCGAAAATAATAAATTATCGTTTAAAGGACCGACAGAAGGAGAAGCGTATGACGAAGAATCGAGATGATGCATGGAGTAGAGTTGAACTACTCGCCATGAGACATCCCAATTACAATACATTGATTCAGAATTCACGGAATACTGAAAATCACCAATTTCAACATTTGGATAGCCCACCGTTGGACGATGACACTGATAATGATGCTATTCCCTTGACTCTGGAAAAAATAGAAGCAAAAGCCAATGAGGTATTGTTATAAATATTATTTTTTATTTTTCAATGGGTGAACCATCATATGTTTCACATACAATTTTTACTTAATTTTAATTTTAAAAAGCAATTCACATGAAATCCATAAAATTTCTCAATCGGGCCCTTTTACAGGCTAAGAAAATGACAAATACCAACAAAGTCAAGCCTCTCTTACGGAGGAAGAGTGAATTACCACAAGATTCCTACACGATGCGTGCATTATCAGATCATAAGCGTGCAGATGAGTATCTCGTAACACCACCGGATCCCAATAATTGCTAGTCCCTGCCAAATTCCCATTTCAACAATCCTCTCTTTTATAACAACAATTCCAGGGTTTAATGATTGTATTCTGTCTCTCTAAGATGCAAATGCGATGCCTTTAGAGCCCAGTATAGTTCACATTGAAAAAATTTATGAATTATTTATTCCCTTGACATGAAAAAAACAATTGATCATTTTCCATAGTAAATTGTGTATATAGACTGTCTGCTTGTTGTCCGCGATATATAGTGTGTTTGGCGAGATTAAATATTGAGAAGGAAAGACACGGTCTCCTTTCCAAACCAATGGATAAACTGGGGTTCTCACTTTTTTTTTTCTCATTATTCTTCTTCTATTCCGGAGAAACAGTAAATTACATTAAAGATGAAATGAGAGAAACAAAAATATTGCTGGCTTACAACGTTGTGAGCTTCGATGTTAAATTCTGAATCATGGCTACTAGAGTTTAGAGTCAGAGTAAATACCTAGTTGATGAAATGTGAAAATAATCAAGGCAATGTTATTCCGTAGAATGGTGTGACACACTAATTCCTCACAAAGCAAAATCAACTGCCTCCAGCATACATTGATATTTGTAATGCGTGAATTTTTCTAGCCCAGTACTATCAATATTGAATATTTCAAAGGAAAATAATATTTGAAAAATAATAAAATATCCAAGAGGAATCCATCTATCGTCGTTCACAATTACGTTCCATTGAATTCATTCTGTTGAATATCGCACCATCCATTCACATGAAATAATTTCATTTACCGAAATTATTATCCTATTATTAAAAACTGCGACTACTGCAAGATTAAAGTTGTAAATAACGGAGGTGAATTGCTTAACAATTAAAAGTCATTTGATCATTAGAATTACATTCATTTTTTTTTCATCGTTGAAACAAATAATAATATCGTGTAACCCTTTACGCTGCTGGCAAGCTGTTATGTTACTATTGATAACGAATAGAGACCTTGTTGACAAAAAGGTAATCGTAAGCATGCTGATAGATTGATGATAGATTTGTGTAAATCGGCAGTTGTTTAGGTGAGCAAATGAAAATAATTATACAATCTTGATTTGCATAATCACAATATTCCTCTTGAGCATTGATTTTTGGTAGTTAAATTATCATTGGAAATTGTAATTATTTAATAAAAAATAAAACGAAGAAAACAACAAGAGAAAAACATTAATATCGACAAAAGATGATTGACAGTTGAGATTTTTCAGAGGTTAATAGCTAATTACGGTGAAATGTATAGCATTGAATGAAAAGGGCTGTTGACGCACTCAACATTTTCCACCAGGTATTTTAATGAATCATCTTACTTTCTCATGGGAGAAAATGGGGGCTAAGAAAGAGATATATATTTCTCATTTCAGTGAATATTGCTTGTGGACGAGAATGCTTTATAATGCAGAAAGAGTTGAAAAGCCTGTAGACGGAAATTGGGAGAGACTATATTCGAGGTATATTTCTAAGGCTGTTCATTATTTAAAAAAAGAATAACAACAATAAATTGATAGATTATCAATGCTGAATAAAATTGAGAGCTCTTTTGGAATTATTAATTTTTTCCATTGGAGTGGTGATGGCTTGTACGAGATATAAAGACCCTTTATAATATCCTCAGTGGACTCCAAGTCATTGTTATAAATACTACAGGAAATATCAATGAAAATATGATTGAGGTGATAGGAAATGACTACAGCCTTTAATTGTAAATATCATGTGAATGCGTGAAAATATGCCTTAATTGCAATTATTGGTCTAAAAATAAATGGACCTTTACGTAGAACATTCGGTTTTAACTAGTGAGCAGTTGATTCATCACACATTGCTCGTGTTCGATAACAATATTTATGCATTGAGTTTAAAAATATTTAATTTCTCTACTATTTTCAACGCGCAAAGAGATGTTGATGTGATAAAAATGAATAGTACGTACAATTCCGTCGAACATTATATATACAATATCGTGGAATGGAGATTAACAAACAATATAGTAGTTAAATGCCAAAGTAATACGTGTGCAAGTGGATAAAAATTATTGTATTGTTTTTTTTTTCTATCTTAAAAAGTGAAGGAACAATACACTTATCATGTTTGTATGTTTCTTTACATTTTTATACAAGTGAATATTCATTACCGCCGGTGCAATCATAAGCTCGCCAGTGAATATGGAATTATAAAAGTCTATGTGACGATGCGCTGAGATTTGCCAAAATTACTTTGATTGGAAAATTGGAAAAAAAAAGTCCTTACCGACAAGTCGTACTCCTCCATTTTGATGAGTATTCCAAGTACAATATTTTGAGGTTACAATAACGCATAATCAGCGTTCGAGTTGAATTTTGTATATGATCATCATCGTTACAACAACGAAACTCACTAAAATCTCATAATAATTTCTCCCTCTCTCTCTCTCTTTTTCTCGCGCTTTCTCCTCTCTCTTTGGTTTTTCTTTTTGTTAATAAAATTGTTTTCAATATGGTCAATATGGGAGGGATTATTCAATTAATTAATCAAAGTTTGTATTTTAAAGAAAAAACATTTAATCTATTTTGTAATTGATTTTGATATAGTTATGTAGCTATGAATAATAAAATTTCAAATGGATTGGTGAAATGGAAACACTACAGCTATTATTATTGATTGAGATTATCTAATATTCGGGATATTATATTCAAGTGGAACTTCTTGTGTCGACTCAACGTTTTTTAATCAAGTAAAACAATAACTCCCTAGGTATAGGGAAAAATGAAAATACAGTGGAGGATTGAAAACATCATGCCATCTAAGTGAATTGATCTGAACAGATTTGTTTGTGGAACTGAGAGGGAGAGAGAGAGATGGATGGAAATACATAATTTCAACTATCGGGAATTAGTCTCGAAAGTGTGTTTGATGGGTTTGATGAATTATGGCTCCTCCATAGCTGTGTGCAGTATTATCTAAGGTATTTTTCTCAATAATCCATGTGGAAGTCAGAGAACGAGACAATTCGGAAAAGAAAGGAAGAAAGGAGAAGGTTTATTACAATAGAAATGATACATGTGTGTTGGAGAAAAATGAAAAGTGTGGAACTTAAGGTGAGAAAGTTATTAGTGCAAGCGTCACTGAAGCTGGAATTTCTCACCCTGAAGGAGTCGAGATGCTTAGATGAGAGATATTTGAGTGTCGGCAAGGGGGATGGGACCAGGAGATAACGGACAGAGAGATTTGTAATGCCCTGGATGGAAATTTTGTGCGAACGATACGAGAAAAAGGTAGGAATCCATGGATCGTTTAATTCCGCTCCGGATGCAGTTACAGTTGCTTCCGAGGTACTTCTCGGTTCTGAAATTTATTAATCATGTTTTCCTCTCCTTCTATCCTTTTACAGCTTACACACCTTTTCATTTTTTTCTAAAGACACTTGGCTATGATTAGATGTAAGGTAGCACTTTGGTGCCTTAATGTTTGGGTTTAATATAAGATTGTTCTCATCAATTTGAAGTGCCATCTCAATTGATGTGTAGATGAATTGTGGGTTAATGGTTATAGGAGAAAGGGACAAGAAGTTTAACGGCAATCGATGCGGTGTCCTCCTCTCTAGCAAACTCGAGATTACCACGTAATTGAATGAACTCTGCACGATCGTCTATTAGCCATAACCCCTGTGACATGTCTATCGTAATGGTGGCGAGGCAGAGGCCAATACTTCCTACTCCCTTGATACCTATCAACCTCTCTCACATCAAGTAAATAAATGCTATCCTATGCACGCATGTGAGCTTCAATTAAAGTCGACTATATATTTGATGGATGAAATATAAGTTATTGGCAAGTTTGTTGAGGGTTTGCCTCCGTTTCTCTCCGATCACCTTTGTTGTTCTCTCATAAGAGGCAAGAGGAGTTATACGAAATTTCACGGGAGGATGCCAGGGGCACCGTCTGCTCCTAACGATTATTACCGTTGACCCACCGACCTTTTCCCAATACCTATTGACCTTCCATATTCCATGTACTATGTACCCCTTTCCCCTTTCACAATACCATAAGTACAAAATAACTGTCCCATTCCACTCTTTTCTCCAATTCTTTTGCTCCTAAATTTAAAACCATACATCTAATCATGCTGTTACGAAAATTGCAAATTCATTCATCAATATTCATTGAATAATTGATTATTTTCATATATTATTACTGGTTAAAAAATTAGTCATTAATTTTATTGGATGGATTATCGATTGCATAATTGATAATGAATTTTCGTGTACATCTTTGTTACTCGTCTACCCTTCCGCAAATTTTCTCCCTCATTTCTTTCTTTCAGCTCTTTCTCTCTTTCTCTCTCAGTCTCTTAGTCAGTCACGTAGAGAGACTGACATCTCCGACTCATAACAGAAAAAAGAGTGGGAAAGTGCCAAGTTGAACAAGAAATCCAGTGAGTGTACTATACATATATGTACCTTTAGCCGACACGTTTCTCCACGATACAATTTGACGTGATGAGATGAAAAACGACGGGAGGGTGAAAAAATATGGGGAACCAGCGTTGATTGACTCACATCTTGATGGAGGACATGACACTTGAATGACAGTTCTATACACACTCGAAATAGTTTTCCACAATAATAATTGTTAGGTTGAATTGCATGAGTATATGGAATCAAAGGATTTTTGGTGCCTTGCTCCGTTTTTTCAATGTATTCCGAAGTTGGACATCGAGAGAGCGTCGCCTGTGCTCACCGTCATTTATCATTTGACGCCAATTAAAAAAATCCTTGAAGGGGTGCTCCTTCATTGATTTCAATGTTTCGTTGCAAATCTTAGTATATTCATTGAGTATATCTGCCCTTTCTTCCTCAGTTTGCTGAATAAGTCGGGAGAACAGGAATAAAGTTGATATTGTGATTAATCAATCATCAATGAATGAGTTTTGAAATTTGACACATTTTTACCCAAAAATATATTGCAATATTTGAATCAGTCGAGAGAAAAAAAAGAAAAAAAAATGTCTATTAATTTGGAAATTTTCAATATAAAGTTTCAGAAAGATCGATAAATGCATCATATTCTTCAAATTTCACTCATTCTCTTCAATGGAAAAGAAAGAAAAATTGTATCGGTGAAACTAACTTCAGCCTCTATACTTTCAATAAGTGCCTCCATTTCATCTTGCTCTGTTTTTCCAGTATCCCATAAAGACTCAGCAGTAGCTCGAATATCTTTTCTGGTGGTCTTGTCAGGTGGATAATGCATTTGTTTATAATCACTTTCGGGAAGTACGAAATTCACAGCCTCATGGAATATTTTATTTTTATTTCGCAGTGTTTCCTCAACTCTCTTCTTTTTCAATTTTGCCTCTCTGCGCAATTTGAGTACTGGCGCTTGTCTTTCATCAAGATCGTCGGCCTTTAGTCCTTTTTTTTCTAGAATTATCTGCTGCATTCGTTTCAGCTCCATTGAGTTCCACCGATTCTTTGCTTCTTCAATAAATTGTCCAGGTTTATGTTGCTGAATGAACGAAAGGAAAAGGCAAATAAAGAAAGAGTACAGAGAGAGAGAGAGAGTGAAAAAGGAGAATAAAAAAAGTCATTGCTTTAACGAAAGTAGTCTTTTGAAGAAGCGTAGGAGGACCCTTTTACCGGTTGCGTCAAGCCGATTTTCCCGCTCGTTTCAGTCATTTCCGCTCGAGCCTTTTCTTCAGCCTCTCCTTTCCTCGTCTCCTCCTCTTTCTCTTCTTCTTTTTGGGTCCCATGTTTTTCTTTACTTTGAGATTTCTTCTCCTTCCAAGAACTTTGCCACTTATCAAATTCTTGTATCTGATAATTGGGGCGGAGAAATGCCGTTTTATTATTTTAAAAGTAAATAGAAAAATAGTATGATTGTTATACCCTGTCGACCTCTCGATCGATAAATGATCTCATCCACTTAACATGACTCTCTTCGAAGATCAAGAGATTTGCTGGAGCTAAAAAAATTCTTAATGAACCGTTATAATCGCAAAATGCAACGCATTGAGGATTTAAGTGAAGTTCATGCGTGTAGATTCCGGAGATGATTTTTCCGGATAGGCTTTGAATAAAACATGGCTCATGACTCTTGATGATTAGATCCCATATTTCTATTGTGCCATCCACACGCGCCACTATTACAACACTAGGGCGAGATGTACCCCACGAGCATGTAGTATATCTAAAAAATCATGACAATTATTCATTGAGTACTTGCAGTAATGATCTATGATACATGAATTTTTTATTTAACCTAACTGTCGATCGTTTCATAAGAATAGGCTTGGGAAAATCTTCTCTCCAAATGGCAAATGCTTTGCCACCAACAGTAATAATAACATCATGCAGATATTTAGATCTAACGGAGTGGGTAACGGGTCCATCGTGGATGAGAGTGTTCCGCCAGATCCAGCTAGTTACTTCTCGGTTAATTGTTAAACTATTGGCAAATTCAAAGCCATCCCATGTTATTACCCCTACATCACCCTCCAGGGTACCAATGAATATCATCTTCGACATAACATCGTTTGCCTCTCTCTTCACGTGTTTATAGTATTTCCTAATAGCGATATCAGTGCTCTTTGAAAAAGGTTCTATTTGAATCTTTTCATTTGCTGGTACATAAACACTCATGGTTGTGATAGAGACACGACGTTCCTCCTCTGGATGTTTAACCATCAGCATGTATGTGGGCGTTAAAACATCATCAAGTGCCTTTAGCGGTGAAATCCATTGTTTTAATGCTTCATGCTTATAAATCGCTTGTCTATTCTTTTGCACGGTTACATTGCTGTCATTTTGTACTCTGAATAGTAGTGAAGGTGATAACGAATTGGTGATATTTTTGAGGAAAATCAGTTGTGAATAAGAGGAAACGAATTTGCCAACCTTAAATCCCAAAAGGCCACTGTACCATCCTCACTGGACGTCATGAATTGCCATCCAATCTCGTTGGTATCAATCTCTGTATCTTTTAGTTGAACAAATCTTCCATTCTGACCAATTCTAGTGTATAACGGCAGCCAAGTAATTTGGGTTATAGCACCTTTTTGACTAGTCTGAAGTAATGACATTGCTGTTGGACGAATGCTATTGTTTTCTTCTAATCCTTTCATCCATTTCATTAAATTTTTAAGTGTTCTTGTAGCTTTGGCTTGTGTTGGGGTAATTGCACTGATAGTTTCTACACGTTCGATTTGTCCCGATATCTGCCATATCGCGATCTGAAATATCAATCCCGATTTCTTATTGAAGCATTCACATTCCCAGTTAATGAATCAGAGGAACGCAGCATACCTGGCCATTGCAGCAACCACCGACCACGATATTGCCATCAAGTGGTCGAACGGAAATGCTTGTTACTTCCCTGAAGCAATGGAGAATCAATTTTGGCTTGAGACAGTCATTCAACGACCAGATTAAAACATAGTTATCATCTTGTAAACGTCTATTCAAAACCTATACAATTGGACGAAAAAAATTTTCATTCATTTGAAAATTCTTCAATTTCTTTCTCTCTATATGACTAAAGGGATTCCTCGTGCATATCACATCGACAAATTATGTCGCCATAATTTTTCGAGCTGACTTTCACGTGGAATATTATTATTATTATTAATGTACTTGATTGCTCGGAGATTTTTCAGTGAGATATTCACTTTTCGAGTGATCTGTATAAGTTGCTATTGCAATGCCTGTCCAGAGTGGGTGCCAACACAGATCGTTAATGACTTTGTCCTTAGTTATTTCAATGCTATGATAATTTTGATATTCAGTGTAAACAACAGGCAGTGGAGTCTGTGTATCTTTCTTATCTCGAACCAATTTCTTGCATTCATCTGTGTGAATATCCCATGCTGTATTCATCAACACCTGAAAACAAAGAGGAAAAAAAAAGGATGTAGTAGCAGTAGCTCCAGTATTCACTGGCTATTCAAGGGATTTTATACTTTGTCGCACATATTTTTCTCATGTATACGCAGAAGTTTTCGAATAGCTCTCGCTTCTTCCTCGTTATAAGCTTCTGTATTGATCGGCTTATAGTCGTACGTGCTGTATTGAAACCAAGAGTTTAGAGGTTTTTGAGAGCAAGTTTGAGCTGTGTTGTCACAAGTTTCGGGATTGGTATCATCGCCGTGGGATACAAGTCTCTTGATTACGTTGTTAAATGTCTGTCTCGAAGTTACGAGTTCTACGTAACTGTCTCGCTGCTCATCGGCATTACGATCAGCCAATACAATTCGACTTTTTAGAAAGTCACGTTTCACAACGATCTGAGAATAAAAATCATTTACTTATTTATAATCGATGTATTTCAATTAATTCATTTAATTTGCCATAAAAAGTCCATTTTCTCGGGATAATAATTTATTTTTATGTACTCCATGCATACTTCACTTTGTAGAAGAGGTCTTGCACTCATAATAATCGTCTCCTCCATATTTTCAGCACTACTTAATTGCTGCCAATAACCAGCCTCTCTGAAAACAGCATTTTTCACACGATTCTCTTGATTATTTCTTGATGATTCAATTTGTCTGACCACTGTATCACGACTGCTTTCCGTTAAGCAAATATAGAATTCTGGACTATTCGTTCTACTTGGCGCTAAACCAATCAACATAGTATCATCAGGATATTTAAAAATTTTATCCCGAATTGGAAGAAAGTCACTGCTCTCAACATGCAAGTCCAAATTATCTTCTATTATCTCTTTCTTCACAAATAACCATGGATATTCAGTCGTAACATTTTCATCAATCTCACAACCGATTATTTTCTGGGTCAACTCTGACAAGTTAATTCTAACCATTCCCTCAATTTCCTATGGATAAAGTATTTTCATAAATTTTTTTTTTCATTTTTTTCATTCATTTTATTTATTTAAATAAATAGTAATGGGATATAGTTTAGAGGAGGAAAAAAGCGGAACATCTACACTTCTTAGATAGAAAATCCAGTTCAATTCAGTGACTTTTCACTACAGATATTTACTATAGTTATTCTGAGTGCCATTGAATTTCTTATTCAGAGTAAAAAAAAATTTATGTATTATATTGTAATTTGAGAATTTCTATTTTTTTGATTCACCAAATTAAAATAAGCTAGACGTTCCACTTTGCTCTATTCTCCCTGTACTAGTAATTATTCAGTGATTTTTACTGTGGAATGGACAGGAATAGTGGAGGATGCCTTCTCACTCGACTTCCCTTCGACCAATTCATCGATTCCTTCGTCCCTATCTGAGAATAGAAATAGAACGATTAACTTGATTATTCCTTCAACTCCTGCTATATTTCAAATGATAAATATTGACCTTCATAAAAATATTCTTCATTCTCATCGTTATCAATGTAGTCGTCCATATTGCTGATAAGCAATCAATGCAATTTTTTTTTTGATTAAAAAGAAAATAAAGTCGCCCATTCAATTGTTTATCTGGATTGGGGTATCCCTTATATTAGAAATGCAATTGGTTATTCATTTGTTCCACTTTCGATCAGTCTATTTTTCTGCAATGTTCATTTTAATTTTGTTAAAAGAATAAACTTTTAAAAATAGAGAAGCTGATTCTTTAGCAAGGGTTTTTTCCATTCCATATGCATACACAATCCTAGTCGATATGTCGGTTGGATTCGTCAATTTTATCTCTTGCTCCATCATTTTGCCTAATTTTTAACAATTATACCGGTAATCTTGTTAAATCATTAAATAATGACATGTTCACGGGGAATTTAAATGGCTAATACTTGAAAAATGAGCGAGTTGAGGCCAGGCTTATTCAAATTATTTCAATGAATTTGTCATATTGGTGAATCGGACTGCCCGGGATTTAGTTGAAGGCAGAGAAAGGAAAGAACAATGGTCTGTGAAAAAGAAAAAGAGGGAATAGTAACGGGCGGAGTTTGCATGACGTTGCCAGGAACAAAATAAATTCTCCTCCGGCGGTAAATAACACACCGTTAAAACAGTGAATGGGATCGAAAGGGAAGCGCATGGTAAATAAACCATTCGAAGAGTAAGAGAGATGAGATTCAGCACTAACCCAAAACCACATATAACAAGCCTTTTCCCTATCTTCTCCCTCTAAGTACTCCATCTCTTTTTTTTTTCACATATCTCGTCTATGCACTGTGACTTGTGCAAAACATCAAACATAAATCGTTCAATTCCCATGCGTGAGTGATTTTTATATATATTTTTTTCAATTTTCCGTTTTTCTTGTTTCCATGTTGGCTGTTTCTATATAACGTCGACCAGTTGTCGTTTATCTGTGTCAGCATGTCAATCATCCAGTACGTTTCAGTACAATTCGTTTATTAACAGAACTGCCAATTCCATCGATGCACACATCGAGAGAGTTGACGGATTTTTATTAAGGTAGACAATGGTAAAGCCTGTATAGTGTGAGTGTAGGTATTGTGAAGAAAATGATGATTAGGGTGTAATGCAATGGTGATGGCGATTGGGGGAAAAGGGAAATATGTACGTGTAGGGGGGGATGTGGCGGACGTGGCCGATTACTTATTAGTGTCCAGTGGGTGTGTATGGGATCAAGTTAACGAGGGTAACTGTACGATGTGGTGATGGCGGGGGTGTTACGGATATAGCCAGGGATGGAGGAAGAGTCGCTGTGATTAGAGGGTGGCTCACAGATGGATGGACGGACGCTTGGTTAATTTTCAATTATCCGTGCGGGGTTCTGCTTTATATACGCATCCAAAGGGAAAGGGAATGGCAATTCCTCCTCCACCACCCCCCAATGTAGAAACGCCAATGGATTACCACGTACGATACTGCAAGATTGGCCACAAAACCCCCCGACCCCTTCACTTTCGGAGGTACCAAACTATATGTCTCGTACTTTATCCATTACCTCTACCAAGCCTCAGGCCAACTGATCACCGCTATTCCCATCGAACAGTAATATACTCACGCATGTTTACCGCTAATTAAATCATACTCATATTCCATTACATATTTTCTTCTCATTGATTCTCATGTCACTATTAGATTGATTGATATAACGCATATTCTCTTCATTCTCTAATTAACCTCGGGGATCTTGTCGTAATATAAACAGGATAAACGGAATTTATCTGGGAATATCTCGAATGATATGTTGATATGTTGAAAATGGATGGACGATTTCGTAGAGAGCAAAAAGACAATTCAATTATATCATGAGAGTGGGTGCGTGGGTGGTGGAGTGTAATCCCGAGGATGCAATTAGCTTTTTGCTTGATACAACATTAGTGGTGGCTGTCTGATATTTCAAAGTAAAATTCTTGTGAAAATTAAATGTCATTCAGCCATGACCCATGACATTCATTAGTTCTTCTACTTACAGCGTGCTTCAGTAGAAATAGTGAAAACGAATCTGAATCCATTTCAATTGTACAAGAATCTAGTATATACTCGGTATTTAATTTTTCACCCTTAGTGTCTAAGGTGTTTAATTTACACATGCAGTAGCACAGTATAGTTTTTTTCTTCATCTTCTTCATCAGCTCACTCTTCTCCACCACTGACACTATCCTATCTGATAAAGTCGAGGTAGAATCCCTTGTAGCCCATGGTAATAGATGTAAAACGTATGCAGTGTGGCCTTATTTATCTTTGCCGTGGAAACAAGCCCCAGTGGTACACCAAAGTACTTCCCTTGAGACTACCCTATAGCGTCCCGTACCATACCATACCGTACACCATATATATGTTTCTGGAGGGACATTTCCATTGTCATCCATAGTAGTTTTTTCTGGCGATGGGTTACGACTAATAAAAACATCTGATTATGACTCTAGAAACACTGTTTCTTCTGTTTGAGATTCTCTGAATTTGCAAGGAACAAACGAGAGAGAATTTTCTCCTACACTCCAATGTTTTATTTATCAAGATGCTATACCTTTTATTCATTCATCTTTTACATTTCTCATGATATCTATGTGAAGATTTTTTCTGGTTATTTGGAGAATTAATATTGGCCATCCAATTTGGATGGTTTTAATAAGAGCTCCTCAAGTCGTTTGGTTCCATGTAATGGAAGTGAGGAACGATTAGCGCTCTAAATGTGACAGTGATGGGAGGAATTGTGATTGATGGTAGCCGATTTTCGTTCTATCGTTTTTTTTCAGAGTGAAGTGGAAATGTCTATTTCAATAATTTTATTGATAGTCTACTCTGTATACTAGGGCGGATGGTTTTGCAAAAGACATGCCAAGCCAGTTGAGAATTTGAGTCATTTTATATTGTCTAACCAATGGTAAAGGAGGCATTTCAGCGTTATTGGTAAAGTTACAAAAGGTCCAAATGAAGAAAAATACCAAACAGTCAGTAGACAATATCGGCGAATACAAGTAAACGTTAAGGGAAGAGGAAAAAAATGTCGGTTGAACGAATGCGAGAAATACCATCCGCGCAATGTCGATGCCTTTAGGAGAATGTCACTGTGGTATACTTGTTCCTGGCAAATACTAAGTAATATCGCTCGTTCATTGTGCCGTTCGCTAAAATACCATGAATTTTTTTTATTTTTTCAAGCCGAGATATTTCACAAAAAACATCAACTCTGCAAAGTATTGATAAAATTCCAATCGTTAATAATATAAATTAATATTCCAATAAGTGAATAATAATTGCATTCCATTCCTTTCCAGTAAATTCGTTTGTTTACTTCGTCTGTGTGTACTTATGGTTTTTAAAAATAGTAATTGTTGAGCGAGTTTTTAATATGGCATTTAGTCTAATGATAATCTCGTGGATATCAACACTTGGTTATCCTGCGGCAGTAGGTGCGGATTGTAGGTTCTCTCGTGTTCCCTAGCGACGCTTTGAATTATTTATGCAATTAGGCACAGTGGGTACCTCATCCGTCGTTCACTCTTCTCTCTCTAGCCAATTTTCCCCCATTCCATCCCTATTCTACAATGATACGTGCCAACTTGTTTCATCTCGACAAGATGAACAATTTTTTTCTCAAACCAATTTTACCCATGAATTCGTTGATTTTTAACATTAGGGTAGAAGCAAAGCTGGAAATATGTGCAACGAGAGGGATTAAAAGAAGTAAAATAAAAAAAATGAAGATTATCTAGAGCAGCTGGATAAACGTAAAAAGGAACAAGTGGGAATGCGCGGATGATGCCTCCAGTACGTGACTGGTGATTCTCGCTGATTTATGCCTCGTTCGTTTTCTCCTTTCGTGTTTTAATCGAGTAATGCACGCCAGATCGCGTTTCTCAAATCGTTCTCGAGGCGCGTGTCGATGGAGCTTCAAACTCAAGGAGTTTTTATCATCTCCACATTACTTCGTCCAATGAAATGTGACGACGTTGGCCGAGTGAATTATCTCATACTCACTGGTCCATTCTATTTATTAAATAAACAATCAATTATCACTTTGAAAGCAATATGAGTAATAATAAAGGAATAAACTGCCGGGTAAATTTACATTCTTTCTCGTCATATTAACATGTTTATTTAAATTACATTTCCATTCTCATTGCCACAGTCTCATAATGACAATTTTTACCACTCAATATATACATTTTTATTTATTTAATATATACAGCTTGATAATGCTTAGGGTGAGTGATGGTAGTTGTATATATATATATACACATATTACAACAATGATAATTGATTCTGTTGAGGAAAGAGTGAGGGGCTGTTGGGTGGAGGAGGAGGTGGTTGTTGAAGGATTTTGATGGGAGGTCGAGAGAGAGATAGCAATATGAAATGGCTGAGTTATGCTGGATATTTGTGAAATGCGGAAGGCATGGGCGGGCAAGTTGTGCATGCCACCGATTGACGCAGGGCTTGGGTCAATACGCGTTAGCAATATTCGATGAACACCATGGAGGCGTTATAGACCATATGTGAAGAGGAGAACAGGGGGAGAGTGGAAAATCCATAAACGTTAACGAATACGCGTGCCTCAAATATTCCCCAAAATTGAAGCAACCATTTTGGGAGAGATAGCGCATCATGAAGGCAAAGGGAAAAATGGGAAAGGGGTTAACTGCATTCTTTGAATAAACTGAAACAAAAGCCACCCCTCCTCCCTCCAAAAAGTCTTTTGTCTATTTTTTTTTTTATTCTTCAATTTGCCTCTTTTTCCTCCTTGTTTTTTATATAAATTTTTTTTTTAACTTCATTCTCATCTCAATGGCATCGCAATACGGTCGATGGAAAAGAGTACAAACTGTGCGTTGAGGAGAAACAAAAAAAAATGGATGAAAAAATATTGTAGAGAGCTCTTTGGTGAAAATATTAAAATCTAAACAAATCATACGATATTATCGTGAGATGAATGCTTATATCAATTGCCAGAGCCTACACATAACTGTTCGTTTTTTTTTTCAATTTTATTTTTTGAAAAAATAATGTTAATTTACACTTGAACCCTATATATTTGTCTCACAATTATGAAGAAGAGTTTGGGATGAAAGACGACTACATAGTTCTCAGATTCACGGATGAGTACAGCTTGGGGATATACAGACTGCGCCGCAATTTATTAACCATTAAATTTGTCAAGATAGACTGCTGACGAAAAAATGAGTATGAGCACTTGGAGTTTGTTTTTAATTTTTTTTTTCTTTTTTACTATCCTAGATTTGTCCGTTACCATTTACCCGTTGCAATTTGCCCGCTCGTGAGGGGCTTTTTTTTCCACATCCTTTATCATATTGTTGGTTTTTGGTTTATTATTTTAGCTATGATTTCAGTAGTTTTACCATGGATTCCTTTTATGTTCATTATTATTTACAAAACATGTACAAATATATCACGAACCCGTCGCAAACGATTAAAATGTAAAATGCCCAGTTTTTATTATACCTTTTTTCTATCGCATCTCGCAATGTTTTTCTTAAAAACTGACACATTTTTTTTTCTATATAATCCTATTTTAACCAGTCTTCATTATTTACAATTGGAAAAAGAGAGCCTCCCCAAGACGAATGTATTATTAAAGATAATATCTTTTACAATACATATTTGAGAACACATTTTCATACATTGAGACGTCGCACCATTACTCACTCTCTTAAAATTTTAATCGAAGTCTAAACAATCAATTTAGTTTCACATAATATTTCCCGTTAAAAATTCACGTTTATATTTCAGGGAGTATCTGAACTGATTTATTGCGCATGGAAGAATCGTCATTAGATATCCCTCATTTATTATTGCAAATAGAAAATTAAATATAAAAAACTATGAAAGATGAGGTTGACCAGTCAGGTTGGTTCATGATTGAGCCAGAAAATTATCGACTCCCCCCGAATGCTCATGATGACAGCAAATCACTCTCGCGCCTTAGGTGTTGTACCTACTAATTGGATTAGCCTGACACTGCAATAAAAAGTGGAATATTTTTGCAAGAATTTTTTTACTTCAATGTCAGGATAAATTGTACGATGAATATTTATCTGTCAAATGCTTTATTTTTATCGGTATGATCGACGCAGCTACGATTATACGTAGTACTCGTTAATGTCGAGCGCGTCGGCATCCCGATCCTATACGCAGCTTTCTTGTGTTGATATTAGAGGTGTGCGAACGGTAACAACTTCCCGTGGATGATGTTGTTTCGTCGATATAATTCCGGTATCTTGAAGAAGACCTACAGTACTTGCCTTCGTGGATTGGCATATTTGATCTATTTTTGGAGCACGTGCATTATGATCTATACACGCATAAACAGTCGCTTCTTTCATATAAGGTTTTCCACCAACTAAAACACCACCACTACCACTTCCGCCATTACCACCACCACCACCACCAACCCCACCACCGCTACCCCCATTATTACTATTATTGAATCCTCCTAAGCCACCCATCCCACTCAGACAGGCTAGTTTTGTCTCTGCTGTTGTCGAAAGTGTTGTCGGACGAGCTAAGCATAGTTCAGCGTATGTTACTTCTCCGGTCAACTGTAATACCATTTTTTTTTTTCATTCATTAGTTAGTTGTCACATTTTCATTACATTCATTATCCGTTTTGGTATCGATATCGGTGCTTGCAGGGCTCCAAATTACTGGTTCGATTATCCAAGAATTCAAAAGTTTAATTTACAAAATTTTAAATGACGGTTTCTGTCCGAGTGCAATTAAAAAAAAAAACAAAAGCTTTCCCCTATACATAAGAGAGTAAAGCATCTATATCGAGACTTACCAGACCGACGCGATAAATATTTGGAGCCCGTTCTAGTCACTGATACGACTCCCACTTTTTTTTAACACTAAAATTTCAATCGGGCACTCAAGCTGGCTACAATTATAGAGCAAAAGTTTACAGTGTTAATCCGAAACTCACGGGTAATGTTGGATAATTGCTGTAGTCATTGTGTGCATAAGCAGAGAGCCCTTGCAAATGATTTGTCTGCTGATTAGGCAGTGATGTTGTTGAAACTTGGTCGGGTGTTACTTGAACAGCCAAGGGCGTGCCTGCTGTTGAGCCCGTCAGTTGATAATCTGAATCTTATTAATAAACACAACGGATTCTCTCACTGAGCATTCTGCTTGTTTGTAATAAAAATAATAATGATAATATTAAATAAAGTATATTACCTTTGTTGGTTGGAACAACATCAGGATTTCTATCATCAGCATCGTAGAGATCCTCTGAACTGGGTGCTGTTGCTTTTTTCAGTGGCAGATCGCCGGGTCTATGTGCACGTCGATCACTTCTAATTTTCAATGCTCCCAGTATAATGAAAGTAATGAGAAGCAAAGCCGCTACAATTCCAATTAGCACTCCAAGAAGTGGTGTTATCTCAAATGGTACAGGACTTCCTGTGAACAATATACGCACTGCGCTTGTGCAAATACCTTCTAAACAAAATCATTCTCATCCGGCAATTCTCCTCTCATTACTTTGCTATTATCTAATATATCGCTGATTGCAATTCTATCAAGGCTCTACTCATTCTTTCTACCTCTTTGGAGTTTTTTATTGTTCTTTATTGCTCTTTATTATTATTTTCCGAGAGGAAAAAAAAACGGCTGGCCAGGGAGCTGGAGAAAGTTCTGGAGCTCTCAGCGTCATGGCCCTGAGTGCGAATTAATTTTTAATCGGAATGAAAGCGCACCAAAGATGGTATGTAAGTGACGGATAGAGTCGTTCAGCCAAGTCCAATTTATTCTTTATGTTTCCTTTTCTCTTTTACCGCTATTTTTCATTTAATTTTTGACACGCAAGCATTTTCCTTCATGTATAAATATCGAGAAAGGAAATTAAACTTACGAGGCTTACCAGTCTGTTTCTCGGCAACTTTCAGCGTAAAACCTTCGAGTTTTGTCGATTCACTTCGTCCCTTTGAATTAAATGCATACATCTTCATAGTCAATACTTTCCCAGGTTCTAACTCTTGCACTGTAAATGCAGCATTATCACGAGATGTGACATTTGCCTGGAGCATCCCTGTATATTGATCGTACACTTCGAGTAAAAAATTTTGCGGCTGACCCCCGTCAAATCCAGCCGAACACTCCACTGATAATGATTCTGTGGTTTGATTGGTTAGAGTGCAGTTATAAGGTGCTTCAGGCTTCCCTAAATCAAATAAAACAGATTTGTTGTAAGAGTATAAGCAGTTGAAATGCTCACCAAGTTTAATTAATAATTAATATTATTTGTTGCTGTGTTGTTGCCTTGTACCTCATCAAAGTAAATATCATTGGCATTATAGATTTTATTTATTTATATTCTGAAAAATTTATTACCTGCTGGAATAATGTGAAATATACATGCGTTCGTCTGCTGTCCAGCTGTATTGCTTGCCCAACAGAGTACAGTACCATAGTCCATTTCTGTTACGGGCCTGTATGTAAGAACACTTTGCGTATGGCGAGTTGAATTTTTGTAACTTGCTTGAGGTACATCAACCATTTCTTCAGTATTATTGAATGCCCATCGAAAGTTGTTTGGTGGTGGATAAGCTTCCACACGACATGCTACTTTTGACTCTTCCAACCTAGCGACGCCGTATATACGCTTTTGGTCGGGTACACAAATTGGTTTATCTGGGAATAAGGAAACAAGTAATTCTTTACTTTACTCTCTGAATAAACTCCTGGAGATGCTGAGAGCTCTTTTTTAAATAACATACGGTTGATATTTTTTTTCCCCCGCAATGTGAATTAAAATTTTCTTTTATACAAAGGCTTTTAGATTGCCTAATGAGGTTTTTAATCGTGAATCAGGTGTAATAATGTTCTTGTTAAAATATTCACGATCAATTCGACCGATCATATGGAATTGGCGATGATTGATCCTCACGCCATTGGAGAGAATATCGCTAATAATTTACCGTTAACCACCACCCATACCGTGACCAAAGCTCATTTACATTCGTCGCTTTGGAATATACCATAGTGTAAAGGACGCGGTATCGGTCGCGGCAATATTGATGCGAATGACATTGGCTAGGGTTGTGCCAGTCCATGTGTAGCTGCACCTATACTGACAATTTAATGCGTCAAGTACCCAAAACTTGCTAATTGAATCTCTTTCTTCCATTAAATAGAGAGATTAAAAAATATATATATCATAAAAAATGTTACGTTGTTATTTGGAAGGTGAATATAGGAGAAATCAACGGACTGGGGAAACGGCTGTATTATAGGATAACGATCAAAGTATAACAATGTGTAAACAGGTCAATAGAACTCGACAACAGTCACGCGTTTCCGGTGTTTCTCATGAGATCGATAGGAACTATTTCCGTATCAGAATAGTTTTACCGGTGAGGGAGGAAAGCTCGTTATGGCTAGCAATATGATAATTTGTCGATTCATTTAATTATTCAATATAAAGGTGGTCTCTTTTGCGACATAAAAGGAAAATTAATCCTCCCTTAAATATGGATACTCACACATAATTTTAAGCTCGACTATTCCGCTGTAACCATCTCCTTCAACGTTCGATGCAACGCACATGTAATTACCTGCTTGAAAACGATCGACCTGTCGTAATGCAAGACTATACTGCTGGACTATGACACCTTTTTTTGCATTGTTATGAATTACCATGCCCTGCAATCGAGGAAATTGTTTGTTAACAATTGAGTAATTCGATTGGGAGACAGATTATGCCAACTAACATTGTGTTTCCAAACAACTTTATATGCTTCTGGATTAGCTCGAACTTTACATTCAAAGTAGACATCATCCCCTTCCTCAATGTCATCGGGATTCATCTTGGAACCCAGCTCCAGTTTTAATATTGGCACAACTGCAACATATCGCCGTAAATATCCCCAGTAAAAAAATATATTTATTCATATAAGTGATAGACTTAGATAACTCATATCAGTTGGTGAAAAAACATTGCTCTTTTCAAAGAGAGAACACAAAAAGTGTAAAATTATCGAGTGACAAGTGGTGAGATATGACTTATTATATTGTTTCTATAGAAGAAACTTCATTTTTCAAGATTGATTGAAATTGATAATGTGAAAATCACTATCTGCATTCATTGAAATCCGTGAAACCATCATACCTCAACCACAGACTAGTCCCAGTGAGCTAGGTCTAAATCGTGTGTCATATTCATCAGAGTGTTTTTCATTTTCTCCAACCGAATTCGACACAATGCCAAAATTTCATTTCATTCCATTTCATTTCTTTCTCTTTCTCTCTCTCTCTCCCTCTCCCTTCAATCCCCTTTGGTAGATATATAGGGAGGTAGCAGAGAGGAAAAGAGTGGAAGGAAAAAAAAATGACCGGGGGAGTGGGGGAGGGTGTATACGCGATCCTGTCGCACTCGTCGCGTTTCCTGCCGCCGGGGACCCGGCCGAATAAATCCCGATCTCCGGTACATTCCATTTTCTACCGTTGACATCTCGTTATTTCGATTACATTCCCGTTTTTGTCCACGTAATGTCTATCGGCCCATCCTGAAAATTCATACCCATCCGAGCCAGCCTCCAAGGCCCCTTCCTCTCTCTTCTCCTTTTGTCCTCTTTTTTTATATATCTCCCCCCCCCTTTTTGTATACATTTTATTTTTCCCATGTTGTTTTTTTTTTTTTGTTGTGAAAGACTTACAAAAAATATTGAGCTTCCATGTGTCCTCCTCGAGTCCACCCTCGACATTGGGGTTTTCAGCCCGACACGTGATCAATTTGTCGTGCTCCTCTCGAGTTGGGGTGAATGTTAAGGTTGACATTGTCATATTACTATCCTCGGAAACCTGTAATGAATGGGTATTTGAAGAGTATTTTACAGCCGTCAATGACATCGGCGATGACTTTTTAATTGATATCAGATGTCAAGTCCTCTTGGGGACTCGAATGAGACCATTTTTTTGTTTTGTTGATGGCGCGATATGTAGGGACTTTGGGAGAAAGGTGAGGAATAAAAAAATAGTCGCGGGTAGGTGAGGGAAAAATAGGAGGAGGCCAGTGTGGCGAGAAGCGGCATCACGAAAGCATCGGGCTATTCAGTAATTGCACCATGGCGTGTTCAAGCTGAACGCTAATGGCAACGATGCAAATACCGATACCACCTTTAATGCCAGTGATTTCGAGCAACGATCAAAGTAGCCCACACTATTCCCTTCTCCCTCTATCTTTCCATACACCTCCCCACTATTTTTTCATCCTTTTTTTTTTCTCAACCTGCGTCAAAACCTTCGACACCTGCTACCTTACAAAACCTCACTTAACCCTAATTTACCTTTATCCAATAATCCACCAGATAGGAATGTTGGAGAATATTCGATGAGAGGATGCGTAATGTGGGGATAATGAGAAGCAATTACGGGAATTAAAAAAAAAAACCGAATCATTATTTTCCTGTTACGCTCTCGACGGTTCTTCAAGGAGAAAAAAAACGATCAATTGATTGACTAGTTGAGCTACTTAAATAAGAATTTAATCATTGCTCATTCTCACCTTTTGTGTAAAGTTCTTGAGCATTTTCCCCTCCATGAACCATGACAATTTTGCTGGCGGCCTTGATCCCATGGTCCTACAATTAATATCATATTTTCTATCTGCACTCAATGGTGCATGTTCACTACTGAGAATCTCCACAATCAGAGGCCGTACTGAAAGAAAAACCATTAGAATTCAATCATTATAGATTGGGATTAAAATTATTCTAAAATAATTAAATTCATGTAACAAATGTATTTTTCAACGGATTCGTTTTCAGAGAAATAAGTGGAATTTTTTTTCCATGGAGTCATGTTTTTGTCCATTTTCCTGGAGGTCTCGTTGGATTGACTTTTTTTTTCAACCCTCGGGGAACTTAACTACCCGCCACATGAAAAGGCCTATTTGTCAAACCGCAGGGGCACCAACCACCCTCTTTTCTCCAATGTCTCGTTTTCGTATCTGACGTGTCTGACGACGATTGGAAATTGCCCCTGGGTATATGAACTATATATGATGAGGGGAAAAAAAGAGTATACCTGGTAGCAGGGCAAGATAGTCTTGTGATTGAGTCGGCGATGAGATTTTTCATTCAGACTTTATCACGGACGTCACAGCGACTGTACTGACAATTAAATGCCTTTTTAATGGGTTCTTCCTTTCTTTTATATTTAATTGGCAAATGTGAAAGCATATGGAGCAAATTTATTTCCCCCAAAATATTAATATCACATAATGAATGTTGTGAGAGCTAATGAATTTTGTAGTTTGTATGATGATGCAATTCTGCGATGTCAATTCAATTAATTACATAAAAAGTTAATTGAGTATGGAGATTGCCGAGTGATTCGATTACTTGAATTATTGGTCCGACTCTAAGTGGGTGAAAAAATACCAATGTGGAAATGATCGAAAATACGAGTATCCTCGGAAAAGAGAATATTGAAGTTCGATTAAAATCCAACCAACAGACAATAATTATTCCAGAGAGTCTTAGCCATGTAAAGAGAAAAGAAAATTGCACTTAGGGTTGAGAATAGATGGGAACATGAGGTGCCGTGAGGGAACAGCCAGAATATAACAACAATGAAAAAAGGTAACGAATGAGCGGAGGGCGTTAAACTTATTGCTATTGCGAATTGAAAATACTTCGGGGCTTAATTCACGGAAGTTTTTTTTTTTTCTCTTTGGTTCGCTGCTTCCGTCGTGTTTTAATCAGCGAGTCCTTGCTCTTTATTACCACTATACTGAATGCATGCACCGTCTAACTACTATTTCTATAAACCAAGGTTTTCTTCATTATATATATATATATGTATATAGAAGACTCTTTTGCATGGAGGAGGAAAATATAAGAATATTTGTGGTGAAATCGCGGAAAAAAAATCTGGTGCTGCGTAGTAAAAGGGGCTCAATGTCAGAGCACCGTAAAATTCGGGTGATGCATAATAAAAAGTACTGTACCGACTGCTAAATTTTACGATCCTGAAGACTTACGGGGACTGAGTATGACGTGATGCTACGCAATCCTTCGTTCACATAAATCACGAGCACACGATATTTTTTGTCATTAATTTGCGAGGGGTTATATTTAGGAAATAATTAATTTGCAGAGAATATACAATTGAGGTGTGTTTTAAAATTTGAAATTTTAAATAAATTGATTTCCCTGCTGAGCGAAAATTCGGAATTAAAAGTCTAGTACATCTAAGAACAAGAAAGGGAGAGTTTAACACAAGTAAAAGCAATGGTGCATGTAGAAGAAATATAATACACATATACATTGAGAAAAACACAAAAAGGAGAGAAGGGTGAAGGCTGAAAAGGACGACACGATACAGAAGAGTCCAAGTGAATGAGTTGGGGGTCATGCCAGACACTCTCCAACAACTCTGACAAGGGGTGGCAAGGAAATGTATATTTAGTGCCTTCAGTCGTCTACTCCAAGTTTTCTTTTTACATTTTTTAATGCCTTTTGGTGTTGGTATTGTTGTTGTTGTTGTTGTTGTGGTGGTGGTGGTGCTGTGCTGAAAGTATCCAGGGCTTTAGGAGCACAATCTACCGGTTCGTACGAAATTCATACTTGTCTCGTTCTATGTATAACCACTCATTAAATGGAAGAAATATAAACTAAAGAGTATATATGCTCAGTGTGGGAGATATTTGGAGATTTGGAGACAGTAGTTTCGATTGAGTTTGAGTGGAGGTCGTATGGATTTACAACTGATATGATGTTGGGCTGGTCATAGGGCTGGTTGGGATAAAGGGTATGTGGTGAACACTGAACCACGGGTCCGTGGTGAGGTTAGATGAGTGGAAAAGAGGAGTGGTGGAGAGAGAGACAAAGAGAGAGAGAGAGGGATGGCTGAAGAGCAGCAACTCGTAGGCATTACAATTTCCACGCTCTCCGTCTGTAAATCAGGCCCAGCGTTAGCCAATTTCGCTGGGCTGACTCCATTATGCCAGCCGACTGGCCTCTAATTAGTCAAGCTCGATTAGGTGGGTGGATGGTTAGGGAGTGGGAAGATGGTTTGGTTGCTTGGCTGGACGATGATGCATTAACTCGAGGACTTCCATTCTGCTTTCCTCTTTCTCTCTCTTCCCCACCCGTGATCTATAATCTCCATTATATTCCATGTTACTTTGTTCAATTTCAATTTCTGAGTGGACTTTATTGGGACGTTGTGAGTTTTTAGATATACTTAGATAATAAATTGTCATTCTCATGTGGACAAGTTAACAAGGAGAAGCACGTATTTTATTCTGTATATACTTACAGTGCATCTCAATGGTAACTGAGGCTGAAACTGGCTGGCTGATGTTATTATTTGAAGCCTGACAAGTGAAAGCGGCATGCAAATCCGCCCTTGTCAGCTCAGTAACGATTAAAGTGTTTCTACGTAGAGCTGGAAATTCACCAGGCTCATCTCTAGACTCTAGAAGTGTTTCACCTCGCCACCATCGGACTGTCGGTGCTGGACGCCCTACGTCATATAATAAATTCATTAATTTTTAAATTAATTTTAACGGGAAATTATCAACAAGTTGAATATGTTGTTACAAGAAAAATAATTAACCTCCAGAAACAAGGCAAGTGAGCCGCATGCTTCCCCCTTCTTCGTATGGCCCCGCAATTGTCGAGACAGTTTTTCCATGTTCATCTATGATATTCGGCTTATGAGGTGGCACTAAAACAAATAGATGAATAAAAAATAATAGATTATCTAAATATTCTTTATAGCCGGCCATATCTAGATTAATCAAGACAATGTGCCATTTACTTAATGAGAATACGAATTTCCATCATGAATTTATGCATTAATAATGATCATCGAACATAACTCGTAAAAGATGAACAATCAACTGACACGTTGATGAGCAGAAAGTACACGTCAAGGAAACGAATACCGACGCGTGGGGACGTCTAAAATCCTCCTGACATTTTGCTATCACGTGTCTGGCGTGCACGATCAGGAACGAGTGAAGTTGAACCAACCACGAACACCTGTATAAAACCCCATCAAGTCAGACGAGCTCCCCTTTCTCTCTTGTACCTTTCGTTTTATTATTCCAGCACTTTCCAGTTGAAAAAGACATTGATTCATAGGTCTTTCAATCGTCACACATGCCCCCATTCGAAATAAGTGGACTATTGATCACTAATAAATTAGCAATGTCCCCGAATAGAAGCCCATTCCAATTAGTCTCTGATTAATTGACTGATTATGACGATTAATTTGATAATTTAGAGATATTTTCAGATTAGACACTAAATATTGTAGTGAGTGTGTCAGATTGTCTTCTCAATGTTTTTTTCATTGATCAGCGGTGCGAATAATGTTGGTTGAAGCCTCATAACTCGAACCACCTCATCGACTCCTGGCTCATGACGTTGATTGGAATTCACAGTACCGAAGTAATCACGCGAGACATCCACTTAATAAACTCGAAGGGAGAAAGCGCTCAGTCTGCCTGGAACCCGGCCTTTTCTCCTCAATATGCATTTATATATACACATAATCAATAGCCATACTGAATATTGCAATGAAGTATACATGCCGCATATTATATAATTTCCCCCGAGTCATACGACAGATAAAATTGACAAATAAATCTGTATGTATTTTTTCTCTCTCCTTTCATCAAGCTCACACGTCTCCATTATTCTTTTTCAAGTTGTACAATATATCTTCTTCATAAATGAAAGGAAAATATTTGACTACACTCCTCTTTTTAATGGAAATGAAAAAAAAAAGCCAAAAAAAAATCGAAAATTAAAGAATGAGGCCACTCACCGATTATAGTGAGATAAATTTTGGAGTTTCTCGTTGGACTCCGTACAAAATCTACTCTACACAGATATTCTCCTTCGTCCCTCTGTTCAACTCTTTTAATATTGAGAATAGCAGGTTCAGTGGCTGTCCTAAAGTGAGCCCTCTCATTGAGAAACTCTTTATCTTTCCAATGTGTAGCTTTTTCCGTGTGTTTGCTCCTCATGTCATAGCTGAAATGATAAAATTCCAATGAATAACCAAAATGATAAATAGGAATGATAGGAAGAGTCAAAGAGTCAGTATACAAGTTAACTCTCGATAATTCGATTGGACTGTGGCATGCACTGAACGCTCAACACAATTTTCGTGGTTTTGAATTACATTGAAATGTTGCGAGAATGTCCGATCATGTTCACATGGCAGACCAGTTGCCAACAACTGCACATGCAAACTCTCTCATATACCTAGTACAGAAATCCCAATGTGTGTCATTCCTATCGTATTCAATGGACGTTTCATCTCTATTTTCACGTTTCTATACATATTCTACATGAACTCAAACATTGGCTCGCATCAAAGGTTTTGAGGTTGAACAGACCAGTCATCCAACGCATCCAAGGTACGTCTTCAGTATTTTGTTTGTTCCATCAGTATTGTTCCGCGGATATCGCTCGCTTTTTTTTTTCGGTTAAAACTTCCATTATAGATGGAAAGTGTCAAAATGGTGTGCGGTCATTATAAAAATTGTTATTAAATTGCATTATTTGATGTTGTTTTTTTAATTTCACTCTCAGTAAAGTCTGGAAAATTTAGGGAATAACCGTGATTTGCGTGTACATGTTTATCTATATGTGTGTAAGCTTTGTCTATGCTTGTCTCTCATACTTGGCGTAATGTTCGGGTAGAGAATCTACGAGAGGCTTTCGACTCACGGTAAATTCCACAGCGTCCTGTTATGGACGTGTGAAACTTTATCCTGCAATTTAGATACACGATGGGTTTCCGGTGATATTCGTACCGAAAAGCAGACACGCAGACTATGCGACAAGCTGGTACTGCTGTGACGTTACAGGCATACCAGACGGTACAGGCTTCATAAATTCTACTACTGTGTTTATTATTACAACTATCACTTTTCAATTTGCGGCCCGGTGAATTCCAATATTTTTATCCCTTCGTATGCACAGCTTTTTACGATTTTTACCGCCTTTGCCAACAACAACCACATAGAGTTAAAAAATATTGACTAAATTAATCGGAAATAGAATTTTAATTCCATTAAAAATCTAGAGAGAAAAAGTACAAAAAGTATATCTATGGGCTATTGTTCAAGACACCAGATGTACCAGTTGAAGAAAAAAAAAATAAAGATATCGGTGCACGCCATTCGACAATCATTCATTCGGCTGTATGCTCCAGCTATAAATCCGGCATTGGAATACCAAATCCGAATATTAATGATCTATGCACTCGACCATACATGAAGTACTTTCCAAGCTGAGTAATTCCTATATGGAACATATTGGCCGATTGTACTCGACGAAAGACGCCGATGTCGGAAACCGTAAATACTCGCTTTTCACTTGGTCTTTACTGCACTCTAAGTAGAACATTCGTTGTTGAGTCAGACACCGCGTTTGAATTTGCAACACCGGTCAACTGTCTCTCTTTATCTTCCTTTTATCCGAGTACATTGGAATTTATTGGTGAAAATGAACTTTTACTCAATTGACTCAATCCGAAAATTGACATGTATTGGAGATAACTAACTGTTCTGAATTTTGACCTAAGCTCGGTCTTTATAGTGAATGCTTCCGTTGGAAAGCCACCCAAATTCGGCTCGTGACTGTTATTTCTCTCTTCATCTCTCTCAGTCACTTTGCCAAGGCTTCCCAAACGCCAGGATAGCTTGCCACGGCCACGATTTTCAATTACCGGTGGGGATATGTTCTCGGCATTTAGATCTCAGCGTCAGGAGCGATCCAATCTAAATTGTATGGACTACGTGCTGCAGGTACGCGCGAGAACTCAACTTGAACTCAAACTCTCGTGCATCACACGACAGGCTCTACGATGATATACATATATATATATATATATATATTGTTCGCTTGTATACGGTGTTAATGTAGTGGTTATGGAAAAGGTTCGATTGAGGGGAAGGAATGAATATTGAAGGACCAAATGTACAAGTTGCGTAATGTGCACATTCCTTCACTTCACTCGATATATTTGATGCAAAATATATGTATGGCTATTTTAGACATTCAACATATGGTAAGATGATCATAAATGAAAATTTAGGAAGACTTTTATTTTACTTTAAAGTAGTTGCTCAATTGAATGGTGGCATTTTTAATGGGTGATAGGGAAGGCGATGGCTGTGGGAAGTGAAAAAAAAAAAAAAAGTAGGATGGTAGTACAGGAGAATTTTTGCTGCTGTAATTGTTCACCCTGGGAGCAAAGAGAAATACACTAGGAGGATTCGTTGAGAAGCGATCTCCGGTCGATGGTTGTTCTCTCTCAAGTATCCTGCGATTTTCAATTAACCCACGCCGTTTTCAACCTCAACCTCCTTCACCATTTCTCTTCCTCTCTCACTCTCTGCTCACCTCTTCAGGGAGTTTCGCCTCCTTTCAGTGCCCTGGGAGAAGCACATCCGAGGTATCCGAGCGACCCTATATCGATTTCGTGAAATCGACGACGAACATTTGCGCTTCAGTCCCGATGCGACGGCGTCACCTCTTTTCCTCTACCTCACTTTACCTCACCATCCTCACCATCCTCAATACCCTCTTCAGCTGTAGAGTACCAGCCCCCAATTTCTGCGTTGGTACTCCACTCACGACGCCCACCACCAGATATTCTCCCAGTCGTTGAGTTTCCTCGCACCACTTCCTGCAACCACCGTTTTCCCCGTACTATTTTTATCCTCACCTCTTTATATCTACTCTCATCCCCCCATGTACACCTTCCTCAAAACCATTAGCATATTCATTAAATATTCGCCTCCCCATGACTCATCTCTCCACAAATATATTAGGCTTGTTCCAATTGTTCAATGCTCCGCTCCAATTACTCTTTCAATTTTCATTTATTTATTAGTAAATATTAGATGTACTTGCTCCAGGTGGTTTTTTTATTTTCACCTAGGATCATTTTAATTTATCCCGAGGATGCTAACAAATGGAGTTGAATGTCTGCAGTTAACGACTTAAATTCCAGAGTAATTTGCATTTTGACCATTTTCGTTGGGTAAGTGATATATATCTTCCTCTCTCGTGTACAAATAACCGAATAATCAGAATTGGGCGTGGATACGAAGGAGGATAGTGTATATGGCAGTAAAGTTCTCCATCTGTAGCCAAGTGTTTATCATATGTATATGGCGTTTGAAGGTGTGTAAGTATATTTTGGCTCTTGTATGTTATTCACCTCAACATCTACGTCGTAACGAGTGGTAACAGGCTGAGAGAAAGGGAGAGAGACATGCAGAGATAAGTTGAGCTAGACTCGTTAGTCGACTTAAGACTATGACTACCCGTCTGACGCTTAGGATCTCTACCCAGAGTACTAAGTTTGGCCATCTCCATTCCTCTCCCACTTTCACATACCCATAATTAATTTAACCCCGTAAAAGTGGTTACTTACGCGTAGTAAAGTCTCTATTAGCTACTCATATATGGCTTGAGACATTTACTTTATGCTTATTTGCAGATTGCAGAATGAAGTTACTTTTTTTTTGGTTTATGCAAGGTAGTTATTGTGGACAAACACACAAACATAGATTTTGAAGTATACATTATTCATATAGGTTGTTCGCGCATCGCTGCTCAACGCTGTCTCGAGTATTCCACGCTCGATATATAGAGGGGCCACTTCCTTCGCGCTATATCACCCGCACTATTGTAAAAATCCTCCCGTTGCATGCCTCTTGTGCAAATGGAGAGAGGCGGAAGACGATGCGAGCCCGAACTCACTGAGAAGAAATGGAAAATAAATACGCAAAAAGAAAATGTCAATGAACGCCCATATCTATCTGTTTCGTTTTTCTTCGCCATTTCATTTCTTTTTTTTTTTCTTTTTCACTCAACGATTCTTGCACTCAGCTGTGTCGTGTCGCGGTTACTGGCGTTGTCCCATTTCTCCTAGTGGATCGATTTCAACTTCACCAACGGCTCCACCAACCAGGTATAACGTCGAATAATTACTCCCTCGTAATTACTTCGCCGAGTCTAGGAAAAAATAGAAGGAGGAGAATAAACTCGGGACAAAAAAAAAAAATTTAATGACCTGAATTTCGACCTTTATTTCTCATCAATTTTGTGGTCATGCAATTTATTATATATTTGAATTGTTGAAATACTATTAGCAATTCTGACCTGGCAATTTCTGGCAATTGAATTTATTATGTAACCGCGGTTATCCCGAAACCTTCGAGGAAGACTTTTATCGATGGTGAACGGCCCTTAATCGTTCAACAATATAACTCGATAATTAAAAAAATGAAAAGAGTAGTAGAGGAAAGAGTAGGTTGAACACTCCCATTGAGAAATTAACAGTTTCCTCTCTCCTTGCTGTAACAAGAGTTATAATACTATCCAGTCCCTTACTTGGTGAGATCGTCGCCCGGACGTGTAAACTGCTGCGATCCTTGCCACATCCCTCGGGGTTACAGAACAGAGCTCGTGATTAAGTTCCTTGGAAATTTCGTGTAGTCCCTCTGAGAGAAACGACAACGATGATGCACTGGGAGTTCAACTGTACTGTATATTACTTTTCAACTCACATTGCTGTACTTGAGAGGGAGAGAGAGAGGGAGAGGTGAAGTTGAAGATATACGAGAGTCCGCTTATATACAAGAAGACCATGTTTATTTTTATTTTTAATTCTAAGCAGCTGTGATAATCAGATAATTCCAATGCCAGGGAATATAAAAAAAAATATGTGTTGCGGATTATTGATAATGCATGTGGGATTGGATAGGCGCTGCTGGAGATGGAGTGGTGGATTGAGTAGGAAGGCAGTGCAGTTCACGGATTCTGTATATAAAGTGAGTTGGACGGGTTGAAGTTTCCGTTTCGTTTGATTTGGACCACTGAACTGTACATCACGAGAATTGCGACCCATGGCTATACATACATATCAGAGACTCTCGACTCTCCTCCGCTGTGAAATACACATGTATTTTCACATTTCCACTCTATTGTCTCGCCCTGTCAGAGGAATTGGTGGAATGGATTTAAACATTTTCCACATATTTTTGGGATTGGTATCGAAGGATTAATGAAGCAAAATAAAATATTAATAATAAAAAAAACTAGTCTGGTGCAATCATGTTCAAGTTGCGGTGACAAGTGCGCAGCGAGGGGAGGAGGGTGGTATATGGAAGGTATATGGAAGGTTTTGGTAAACTGGAAAAAGGGAAGAAAGTTGGAGAGATAAAGGTTGGTCGTAAACTCGGACGCTCGTGTACTTTCTTTTTTTTTTTTTTTTCTTTTCTCTCTTTCTCTTTGCTTTGTTCCATTTTCTCATCTCCAAGTCCCCCTCGAACGCCCTTATTACTGCTGGTTGTGCTCAGTGACTGCATGCTTACCGCTGCCACTGACTCTCCACTCTTTTTCGCGTAATTAGAAGGAGAATAATTTATTTAACTAGCATGTGCACTCGCGCATGTTCTATATTCCGAGATTCCTCCATGCAGCCTATGTTGTCTCCACAGCTTCTATGTCAAATTGTTGTTAAATGTAACGGATGCGTTTTCATTATAGGGGATCGCAAGAATTATTCCGCCAAAATTCAAACGAATTTATTGAACACTCCAATTATATATATATTATTTGATATATTATTTTAGGATGCACAATGATAACTGCGCATATTATATAGCAACGATTATACGTGATAATGTGGATTACTATGGTCGTCAACGATGAATACCCCCGCGTTTATGGTCGGTGCAAGTATTCCTGCATATGTATACGAGTATAAAATTGTAATTCACTCTTGTATAACATGAGCACACTCAGAGAATGCGAAATAATACAGTTCATGATTACAAACAGCGAGAACATTTAATTTTATCATTTTAATTTATTCAAAATGGAATTGTCAACATATTTTAAGGGGAAATGAAAATGAATTTTTGCAAGTAAAATGATGTTGTGTTATGTTATGACGGGGATTATCCAATGTGCATACAAACATGAGATAAACATAACAGTTGAAATGTGGAAGCATGTATATGGGAATGAAGGTAGTACCCAGTGGATGAAGGATTTGGGAGTCTTGCTTGTGCTTGCTATCGCATCCGGTGGCTTTCCGTCTGGCGGAAGATGGTGGCGTTCGCCGAGAAATTACCGGATTAACCTCGTCTTCTCTTCCTTCATGCTTCAAGGGACACAGACATGTGGCTCACCCACAATGTTAAAATGATTTTATTGCCTGATGACAATTGTTATGTCAATAAAAATCACAGCACTCGCATGTGCACTCGGCATTTCGATAATTTCCATGAAAATCGATGCAGATGTTATTACAAAAATCGCATTCGATTGAATTCTTCAATGGTATGTTAACTCTGTGCTTGTACGCGATCACTTTCATTTCTTGTATATCCTGTATGGGTTTAGGTCAACCCCTATTCTCGTCACGCGCAGCTCTTTGCATTCACGTGTCACAACCAGAATTCTCTGTATAATCCTACACTATACGGACAGACACACACACAATCATGCCTCATACAGAACATTAGGCCACCTTGACACATGTATTACATTCACCCAACTATTAATTTTTTTCTCTCAATTAATATATCAAATTCACCTATAAATTGGGGTAATATCGGGTAGACGCTCTGAAGCTTTGTACCACACAACTAAGACTGCTGAATCGTTTGGCTGCGGTGGCCGTATGTCACATGGCAGCTCTGCTAAACCATCAAGTACTGCTCTTGCCTGAAGTGCCGGTCCTGTAACAAAAAATAATCCTGTCAATATGATTATTTCAAATAATTGAAATGAGAGTGGGTAGAAAAAAATGTGTGCAACGCGGTGCAAAAATGAAGGCATTTCGTGTTGTATATGGTTTATACAGTGGAACATAGAAAAGTTCAAGGTAGCAGCAGCAGCAGCAGCAGCAGCTGAGTTTGCTCTCGTGCACTGACGGGCCTTACTGCGACGCAAAATAGTTTCGTGGCATAATATCCCGGTGTTGTGACTAGGAAAATGGGGCAGTAAGAGAGGGTGAAGAAAAAGACGAAAGAAAATGTGGAGAAATGATGGTGCCGCGTTGGCGAAAATTTAACCAAGGATTATACATATATATGTATATGGCTGTGTATATTGTACGTATACATATGGAGAGGTGGACGGTGTTGGGCTGTGGATTGGGTGTACGTGCCTGTCTGCTATCACGATCACTAATATCAACTCTTTCCCTTGAAGAAAGCGGTTTCCCTTTGTCTTTTCACTAGCCACTGGGTCTCGTTATCGCCAATGCGTGTTCACTTCAACCTACATAAAGTGCCCTAGCATTTATACGATTCTGTCGCTTCGTTGCTTTATTTTATTTTTCGTCTGCAAAATTGGTGGCAGTTGGAAAGTTCAAGTCCGCGAAACACGTCGAGAACACAAAATCATTATTGTTAGAGTGGAAAGGGAGAAGGGTTCATTTAACGTTAATGATGTTAGGTTGGGCATGAAATGCTTTTACTCGTATCAACCTATACATGGTAACTATTCTGTGGTCTAGCCTAGGATGTCATACTTGTCATTCTCTACATTGTACTCTCCACCAGTCGTTCTGTTGTACACCCTGAAGAGTCGGTCTCGTTTGCCTGCACACCAAAGCAAGCGTCTGAAACATCGGCTTTACCACTGCCATGTTAAATTTCCCCTGGGCTAGCCTCGGATATGTCTCGGTATACGTTTCATTGTCTTTCTTTCGGTATTGGTATCACCTCTTAGGTGAATTTGAAAATCCGCTACCCTCTTCTCTATAATATTGCTAAGTACTTTTCATTTATTTATACATACTGATGATTGTTCATTTTTTTCATCAATTCAACAATGTTTATATTTTAATTTAATATTCAGTGGAATATTCAGCTGAAAGATTAATATTGCAAAGTACTTTGTTACTTATTTATGGTGATTAGGGTATGGGATAGGAGTAGAGGGATATCATGATATCAGTTTGGGCCGATCGTTGGTTTGCGCATGGAAATAATCCAACTAGGCTACCCTTTAGCCAAAGTAAGCTTATAATCTGCCGGTCAGACGGTGGTGAGAAGCCACACGAGTGACCATTAGATATCTATTGCGAGCCCAGGAAATGCACCCCCCAAGCAGCACCCCTTGTGAAAAGAAAAAAATAAAAAATAAAGAGATTTTCTTTCTCTCCACCATGCTCATCCTCCATCCGGTAAATGTCTTATATAGAGATTATATTAATGGATGTTACCCGCATTTAGATAGGGGTACATGAAAACAAATAAAACATCTTTCCTCTTTCGATTTGTCCACTTTTAATGGTTTGTTTAGCGAAGAGGATTTCTCGACTTGCCACATGTTCTCCGAGTGGTAAACATGCACTTGAAAAGTTTATACGTTTGCATTGATGCATGGAGGAGCCGGCCGGATGGCGTTTCAGGATTTTCCTGAATTCGTGGGGCGTGTAGGTAGAACCACGCGATGGTATATAATGCTAGGTAGGTAGCAACATTCGTGCACGTCAAAGCGGGGCATTAAACGCGTTTCACTCAAACTTCCGAAAGGTCGGACATGCTCGGCGTTGGTTGGTGCATTCCTCCTTTATCGCCGTCCGCACCGAGCTCTGTCCTCTACCTCTTCCACCCTATACTTTGCCATTTTCTTCTCCCGGTGTACTCTATCTTTCCTTCTTTCAACTTTTTCCATTACACCATTACAAACATCGCACAGCTTTCTTGCCCCGTGGAATTTCCTCCTTATTTTTCTCTCCTCGGTTTGCCCTACCTATATCTCTCCTGCACTTCAATGCTGCTTTTATCGGAATCTTTACCATTCTTGTTGCTTTGCTGCCTCTCATCAAAATCAACGATACAATTACACTATATTTTTACCCTACATTTCTTCCAAATTTTAATCACATTATCGATATCGAGTATGCTATAATATAGTATCCAATTTGATTGGAAACATGGAGTGATGAGAAAACAGACGCCATGATTTTGGTTTTAAGACCGAAGGGTGAATACCGAATACTCACGATACGGTTCTTTCGAGGCTTTGCGAGAGATTCATACTCGATTTCAAAGCCGATAAGTACGCTCGTAAAGATAAAGGCCCAAAGATAGCTTGCCGGATTTAGAGAGGAGCTGTACTTCTACTCCTCCACGTTCGTTTTACGCTTTTCTTTTTCCGCACTCAAATCCCAGAGATGCAATCATTTTATCCAACATCCTCTTGATGCCATATAGTTATTATATATTTATATCTCGTGACATTGTTTCCGTGGTTTATGATGGTCTATGATTTTGGAAAAGTGCATCAATTTGATGATACATTATCAAGACATTTAAGTGGTGTTGCAGGGGTTGCAGGTGTTGCAGGTGTTGCAGGGGTTGCAGGCGTATTGGAATTTTGCCTCTAGTTTTTTACCTTAACACCCTCACTTGGTTGTCGAAAGTTTGAACCGAGTGGCGTGCTTCGTCTCCATCATGGCGAACGCCTCGCTTCGAGTTACCACCGCGAAACGCTTCCGAACTAACCGCAAGACCGCACCTCCTCAGGCAGACTAGAACCCTCCAAACGCGTTTACTGTGCTTCCCCTTCTATTTTATCCATCTCTCTCGTACTTTCCTACATCCAACCAATCTTCCCTCCAGCCCCTCACCATCTATCCTCATTCATGGTAAAGTTTCATTGGATTTAACGGAAAGGCATTGTCTTGCTTGAATTGTTGCGGCACTTCCGACAAGTCAGCCGTTACATCTATTGCAATTGTCATGAGTGTACGGGATTATATCAGAGTGTAGTTAAGGCATCTCCATAACTCACCATTAATCAATGCTCAAAAAAATTATTTATGCCCAGTGAAGAAATTCAAGTTGAAATGTTGTTAACAGTGGGGTCAAGCCGAGATGAGGCAAGAGCAAGTACTGCCCATATACCATACCATGTTATCATCTGAAAATTCATGTCACGTGGCAGAGTCTATAGCACAGGCGAAACAATAGCAGTGTACGTGATTATCCTTCGAAAAGCCACATGGTTATATAATAAATAGCCCTCCGGACATTGCGGATCTGTGAGACAACCAACGATTCGCTCGACCCTGGAGAAATCATTTTTTTCATCACGCCACGCGTTATCTTTTCAAAGCTTTGTCTTTGTTTTCCTTCATTCTCCATTCCCTCACTCCTCAAACCAAAGCAAACACTCCAAACTCACTTACAGAAAGTAACAAAAAGTCAAAATTAAATCGATCTTGAGATAAATTGAAATATCTCTAATGACCCATAAAACGAAAATTGTGGCTAAATGTCAATTATTTGGAATTAATGGAGAGAGGTGGTTTCCATTGAAATTAAACAATAATTCACTGGAAGGAATGAGGAATGGTGTCATTGAATCGAACATCCGTGTCTTCCGTTTTGAGACTCACTACTTTTAATGTCACTTGTTCTTCTCTGGCGGATTCCGTGCCCTATTCGCGTGGAAACAACGTGGTGGACATTCTCAGGCTCGTGTAATACTCATCTTGTCCGTTCTGGATGCCTGCCAAATCTCGTAAATTACAAAATTACACGAACAAAGTCGAGATTTTCCTCTGGCGCCTCTCCCTTGGCTTGGCATCATCCACCCTCCTAAATAAATGCTTAAATACTTTTGGATAATGCTGATTATCTTTGATAAACTGTATATATTTGATCTGACGAGGTTATTTCGGGCATGAAAGGGGAAAGTCAGGGGAAAGTCAGGGGAAGGGTGCGAGTACAGTCAATTTAATGAGCACCGAAGCAACGTCTAGCACTGATGTTCGAGTTATGCTAGAACGAATTCGTTGTCACAGGGTGTTTCTGCTTGGTTGCAGCTTCACAAAAGGTAGGTAGCCCGCACGCACCTCACCCAACTCTATACCTGCTGCTATAGAATTGACCACAAAAGACTATAACATTATATAAAGCCCACAGAAAATGATTTTCTTTGTTTTATGGAAAGCTTCAGCAAAATGAGACCCCAATTTCAATTTTTCTTTCGTGAAATTTTCATTGGATGGGAAAGACCCAGTGACTTGAACTTATTTCGGGTGATTACAGTACAGATAGAATCAGTGATTTGATCAGTGGATAACACCTCTAAATATCGTGGAATGTTCAATAAGATACTTGAAGAATTTTTTTATTTTATTATTCACGGTGTGAATATATATAAAATCAACAGTTGGTTGACGAAATAATTCTATGGATAAAAGCATCTTCCCCAAAAATTTCACATCTACGGAGAAGTTAATTTTCATTTACTGCAAGAACTTGTCATTTGCAGACCATCTGAAATGATTTTTCTTTTTGGAGATCTAATTACAATAAAAGTTGCCCTTAAAGTAACTAAATTCAGGGGCGTGTAATTGTCTTATTCATGACTTTAGTGGAGGAAATGGAGTTTGAAATTGGTATTTCGGCTTGAGAATCTATTACGCGGGTTTGACGAAGGTTCTGACGAGTCATCAATGGAGTTTGATAAAGAAAACGGAGGGGAAGGCAAGTAGAGAAAACTTGGTCACCAGAGTCTAGCAAATCTTGGTAACCACGAGTGGGCGTAAATCAAAATTGGCAGGTACAGAATTGCTGCAGAACCCCGGGGTTTGTGAGCTCCATGAACCATAGAAAGGGCCTCGACAAAGTGTAGTAAATCCAAGAAGTAGTACGGAAAAGTTTTCATGCGGCAAGTGTGTAGCAGTGAAACGAAAAGCGAATAACCACACAGA